CGTCAGTCGTCAGCGTGACGTCAGTCGTCACGTGACGTCAGTCGTCACGTGACGTCAGTCGTCATGTGACGTCAGTCGTCATGTGACACTAAATTGGGGTAAAATTGTGTTGTGAATTAAAATATATTCAGAATCGTGCCGTTTATGATGGGATGATCAGCAAAATAATGAAGACCATCAGTTCACACTAATTTAAACAGAGATGAGGTTTGATGAATGTTTTCTAATTTAGAAGTTATTAATCAATTTAAGATAAACATTAAATAGCAGTTCATATATTTAAAAAATATATATAAACAGCTTTTAATATTAATTGCAAGGAGAAAATAAATGTAGCATGATTGCTGTAAAAATAAGTTAAAGACAAAAACAACTGGACTTTATTTATTATACTTTAATTTATACTTGTTTTTTTCTTAAATTTTTTTTAATTTACCATGTCCTGGATGACTGAGAACCTTCACCAGCTATTAATGACACAATGGGCTTGCCATAACACCTTCACCTTCGTTCTGCTCGCTGCTTGGAGCAAGTCAAACCGGCTGCACCGCCCCGGCAAAATGCAGCTGGTTTGACTATTAAAGTGCATTTATTAAGCAAACGTTAGACTGAGACACACCTTTGCTATAATTTCTAGCAAACAAATAAATGTTTTTAGGCGTTTATCTTGTTAAATTTGCACAGCGACTCGTCGCGTGCATGCGTTTACTTCCGCATGTCGCTTTTGAAATACAGCTGATTTGACCGTTGAAGTACATTAATTAAGCAAACGTTACATTGAGACACACATTTACTATAATTTTGAGCAAACAAATAATTGGTTTTAAGTGTCAATCTTGTTAAATTCTTGTTGAAGTCCTCCCGTGCACGCTCCCGCGGCCTCCATTTGGCAGCCCATTGATTTTTGGCACAACACCAGCCCACATTTCCAGGTTGTCAGCGGTGACGCATAATAGATGCGACGTACACGGCGAAGCGACATATTTATGAATTTTTTCCACTTTATTAGACAAATATGGACTGATGTCACTTATAGGGCGGTGTGAGGGGTACGGCAGAAAATACAGTACTTGATCTTATTCCACCAAATGAAGCGTTTCCTTCGACCTACAAGTCATGCTTTAATAATTGTAGTTTTCTGTTTTAAACAGGTTTATGAACACGAGTGTTTCACAGCAATAACACATCATCCACGCTGACACACACAAATATATATAATGGTATATGGTTGTTGTTATTTTTAAAGTTTCACTTTTTTAACAAAGAGCTTTGTTGTACTTTTAAGTGTCTAAAAATATATATATTTTAATGTGTAAGGCAGATGTGATCATTATTTTGTACAAATGAACAAACCTACACTTGACCAGTCCTTTCTAAACTTTATTCGCCGACACAGGATGGAAACAGAGTCAGCGTTTCAGTCGCGCTGGTGAGGTTCTTGTGGCTCCACTTGTCCACCACACGTTTCCATCCCTGAAGCTGGGAAACAAACTGGTTTTATTGTTGTACCCAGTCTGGTCATCCCTCAGGCTTACCTTGTTGAAGCGAGTTCTTGATGCTGTCCTTGAAGGCAGCCACTTTCGGGTGATTGTGCAGCTCGGCGTCGGAGAGTAGAGCTACTCTTTGTGTGAAGTGCTCCTTCACTCTGGCAGACAAGCTGAACATGGCCTCTGGCTGCTGAGGAGCAGCCTGCACAGAGAGACAAACGCTGCTTTTAAACACGTTTTGTTCAACGTGGCAAGACCAAGGAAATTTTAAACGGGCGCCGTAAGAAATGCAAGAACAGAGAAGGCAGCGCACTGAGCACCACCTCAAACGTTTTAACGTGCGTTTCATTCATCGCACCGACTGCCCCACAGTACCTGAGTGACTTCTTGTACGATGTCAACAAAGTGGTTGATCTCCCTGTCCAGCTGAACACACTCCAGAATCATGGCCTTCATCTTTTTGATAGCAGGGTCCATTGCTTCATCTTTAATAGTAAAAGCAGAGGGTCAAGTAAACACATACAGCACTGTGTTAACACTTTAATAAATTATACATTCTTAGATGAAAAATGATGCATAAGTAACATGTTTTTAAGAGTTCATTTTACAGTTGAGGGAGAACAGCCTGACTTTTACATCAATGGGCAAAAGTTGACCAAAGTGGGTCACTTTAAATAACTTGGAAGTTTTGTCAGCAGCGACTGCAAGTTGGATAAGATTACTGTGCACATGCACGCCGCCTCCTGCGCCGCAGGCTCAGGACGAGTTTAACAACAGAAACTAAACTTAAAGTGAATAATCAGTGTGGTATATCAGTGATGTTGTATGGAAGCGAGACTTGGACACTTTACCACCATCATATGAAAAGTCCAAGAACCACACATCAACACAGTAAAAGATCCATTTTTTAAATCAAACAGGATAACCATATTACAAATGAAGTTGTATCTAGACCGTACCATGTCTGAGGACATTGGGATCACACTTATGAGAAATAGATTGGACACGTTGCACGCCTGCCTGTTGACAGATTAGTCAAGATGCTGTTATATGGGGAACTTGTGGATGGTTCTAGAAAGCTTGGTCGCCATTTTCTTAGATCTATAGATACCACTGAAACGTGATGAACTCTACAAATGGAAGCGTGTTGTAACCAAGAGGCCACAGTGACGAAGGTGTATTTATTTATAACATTTGCAAAAAGATGGGACTTCAACCAAAAGGAAAGCAACAAAAGGAAAAGAGAGGAAGTGAGTTTGGAACGAAAATAATTAGTGAACTGTGTGTACAACCAATGAACTTTCATTAGAAATATTTACAGCCATATATTTGACTATGTCTCCTGTAAACTCTCATGAATTGTCTTACCCGTATAACTTGAGACAGAAACGATCCCAACAAAAACACAATACGGTAAATGTATAAATGGATCATTGCAGGTAATCACAATGGCGTTGATCCCTCAGGAAGGATCAAAACCATGGTGAGGTGATGAGGCTTGCACGATCCAATGAACCATTTGGTGGTGCAGGTGCACAAGATCCTTGTAGGACCACCCAAAGGGGTAAGGATGATGGTGGGATTCCAGACAGAGACATCCAAAGACCTCAATGGCAGACCAGGTACATGACGTCTGCAGCATCTTTTCAAGTTTAGTCTCGGACCCTCCTGCCATTGGAGTCACCTTGGAGAGATGTCAAGGATTGTGTGTTTGCTGGTGTGCAACGGCATCTCCATGTTGAAACAAACACATGCACTGGTGTCTTCTTGGACTTTGTTTTAAGCTGGGAGGACTAAACAGTGTCCTTAACGAAGACACAAAGACTCGTATGGAATCCATCATCCTCTAAAAGCAACTTTAATGGCCAGACCCCTTCCCAAACAGATCTTCTGTTTCTCACTACAAGGGTAAAGAACAAGTTGAGGTCAAAAGAAACGCTTCAAAGACACCGTGAAACTGAACCTCAAGTCACGAGGCATTGATTGGACCAGCGGAGAAGAGCGTGCTGTGGAATGACCAAACTGGAGGACATCCATTCATCAGGGAATTGACTAGTTCAAGAAACAAAAAAGCAAACACCTCAAAGAAAAACAAAAACAACTTGCAGCCAATCCTGATCGACCCAGATGTCCAACGACTACCACCTGTGGAAGTCTGCTCATCCAGACTGGGGCTCTCCAGTCACTGAAGGATCCAGAATCAACAGGAGACATGATCCTAGTCAACAAGGGACAGGCTGAATGGATCTACTGAGGTACAAAAGTTTCCCAGTTTCCTTGCTCTTCAGTAAGTCTTCAGAAGTCTGTTCACTTATTTAAACCAGGCGTGCTGGAGAAGAGAAACCTCTAAAACATGCAGGATGGTGGCCCTCCAGGACCAGGACAGACAACCACTGTCCTAACTATTCAATGTAAATCAGACACATACATCTCAAACCTCTTCATGATTTACTTCTACAGAACCAGACCTTCTTTCGAGGAGTTTTGATTAATAATAATAGGTCAGCTTTCTCAAGTTCTATTTGGATTCTGGCTGTTTTTTCACACAGTTTCTGTTTTCTTGCACCAGAACCAAACAGCACATGTTGGATAAGTTTCAATTCAGTTCAGTTTATTTATACAGCACCGAGTCACGACAGAAGTCATCTCAGGGCACTGAACAGAAACATTCATATATATATATATATAAAAGTAAGTTAACATTATTGATCTGAGGAGCAGCTTTGAGTTTAACTCCATCACAGAACTCTCATCTTGAGCAAGCATGAAGGCGACAGTGGGAAGGAAAAACTCCCTCGTGAGGAAGAAACCTTTAGCAGAACCAGGCTCAGGACAAGTGATCATCTGCTTCGACCAGCTGGGTTTGGTAGGAATGGCAGGTCGAGAATCATATTAAGATAGAAATATCAAATGAAAAACTATTCATTTGTAACAATTAATGTTAATCAATGAGATCAATTTGTTCTCTAGTAGTCTAAGCATGACATAACAAGCCAACCCTAACAACAGGATTCATCAAAAAGGAAAGTCTTAAACAGTCTTAAAACTAGACAATGTGTCAGCCTCACAGACAGAAACTGGAAGTTGTTTCCACAAGAGAGGAGCCTGAAAACTGAAACATCTTCCTCCCATTCTGATCGTGGAAACTCTAGGAACCACAAGTAAACCTGCAGTCTGAGAGCAAAGTGCTCTGTTAGGAAAATATGGATCAATAAATCTGTAATACAAGATGGAGCAAGGTTGTCGAGAGGTTTGTAGGTTAGATCTATAACCAAGTGACAAGTGAGGGACAAGAGCAAAAAACAAGACATTTCTGTGAAACAAGACATTAGCTGATAATCGGAGCATCGTTGACCATGAAACAGCTTCAGTTTGTGACATTTACCCCGAGCTTCCACCAGGTCCATAGCAACATCAGTCACCACGTCCATTCCTGTCCCGATGTCTTCCTGACATCCTTTCAGGCTTGACAAAGTCCCTTTAACAGCGGTCATGGACATTATGAAGACTAAATGTTACATTAAAGACAGAAATTGAACTTCGCTTTAACGTTAGCCCGACAAGCTAACGTTCAAAAAGCTACTTCTGCTCCCGCGGACAAAACTTTATCACTAAAGGTTTGTCACAGAAAGGCTGAAATTAAGTTCAAATGACGTCGAAGAAAGGTTTAAATTAAACAAAGTGCTGCATGTAGCAAGATACAGTCCAGTTCACGTCACGAATTAACCGCGCCAAAAAAACAAACAAAAATAAAAGGCTAAGTTTTAACTTCCGGGTACGAGTTTTTCAAAGTAAAAGCATCACTCACAGATGAAAATGGACAGCACATTATGAGGAATCATATTTATTGACACATTAGGAAATGGCACATGATATTTGTACAAAAAGTTTAATCACAACCAAATTAATGTACAATCTAATATTAGTGCAAAAATATTATTATTCTAAACAATGAAATGTAAGAAAACTAGCTGAGATGTCCACACGTTTTGTAGATCAAAAGGTATTAAAACAACCGTTTTGACAAATTAAGCTGCTGTAAAAAGAGAAATTCCTCAGCATTTGAACTGTTACTGTATGAAAATTACAGATAAAAATACAAGATACAAGGACACCATAGATGATCGCTGTAATGCTTGAATAGACTAAATATTTATTTTACTAGAGATGTGCGCTTTCTCCACTGATAAAAGGAAAAACATTTACAGTAAAGAAACATCTGTTGGCAACAAGAGCAACATTTTCAGGTGAAACTGCTCCTTCCAGATCATTACAATATTGTTCTAAACTCATCAAAAATGAAACTGGGCACATGAGCTTCAACCACCTTAAGAACACAGAGAGAAATAAAAAAGCATGTTACTATTCCTCAAGCACAGTCAAAAGGTTTAGACTTGACATATAACATGAGCTAAACATGTATGGGTAAAATTACACAAATTCTGAGTAGAAGTGTTCAGAAGACTCTTAGAGACAGCCCTATAGGATATTTTTAAGAGCACTACAAAAGGTAATGTTACCCTACCTTTCGTGAGAGTTTTGTGTACTTCACATAATCTTCAAGGAACATCAGAGCTCCCACCACATCTGACGGCATGTCAGGGATTTTCTGGCTGTGATAGATTTGAACAGAAACTTACTGAAAACACGAGGCCATATGTAACAATCAGATGCTCAAATTATATTTTAAAAAATACACAAAAAATCATCACAGAAGATGTTTGTTTTGTCACCTCGTGCACTGGTCCATGATGGAGCGGATGAACTGACCAATGAGAGCCAGGAACTGATGTGTATATCTGGAGTGGAACTGTTTGAGCAGGGTGAGCATACCAAGCATCAGAGGAAGCCAGTCTACTGGGTCTGTGGCTTTCCTGCATGTCATTCCTGTAAAAAACAAACAAAAAAATTAAAAAGTAAGTCAGTAAGTGTGACATACAAACCCCACAAAATCACTGATTACTACTGGTTCAACAGTCAAAATACCCAATGTAATAAAATAAAAACACTCCAATGATGTAAAATGCAGTAGAGTGGTAAAATTAATAGTTTTGTTGTTTTTCTCAGCTGCTCCCTTCTTCAGGCATCGCCACAGTGAACTAAGTCACACGAAGACTTGGCAATTATTTTTACATCAGATGTCCTTCCTGATGTAACCACAGACCACTGAGCCTCCGTGTGAAGCAGAGAGCTGCCATCTAGGGTGCTCAGGGGAGCAGATGGTGTGGGTTAAGGGCCTTGCTCAAGGGCTCAGAGTGGGGCAAATGAGGGTGGAGGCAGATGTGGGTGCTTCACCTATCTCACCCACATTTTGATGTTGTCGGTACCGGGAGTTGAACCGGCGATCTTCCAATCACAGGCCCACCTTCTCTAACCTCTTCACCACCACTCCCTCGAGTGGTAAATTAATAGTAACATAGCAAAATATAACCACTCTATTTTATGTAGCATTCTAAAAAAAAAAATCATTTTATTTAACCTTTATTTATACAGATTAGTCTCAGTGAGTGAAGAGGACTCATTTTCAGGAGACCTGTTTTAGACAGACAACGTATAGAGTCCAATAAACAACATACACACAAAAAATAATTACAAATAATAGTGTTATAAAAACAATCATATCAAAGTGTTATATAAAACAAGGTAAAATACTAAAAACAAGAACATTTTTGCTTTGATATTTCAGACCATGTTTAAAATCCTTTAAAGAAATCAGAGGACAACTTCAGATCTTTCTGCAAGGTGTTCCAGGAAACAGGAGCAGAGTAAGAAAAGGTCTTTTTGCAGAGTTCAGTCCACACTGAGGGAACGCTGCAGGTAGTGAAGGCCTGAGAGCGCATGTTGTAACTGCACTGACGGCGTGACTAGTGGGAGGAGATCTAAGAAGGCAACAGGCCAAGAGGTAATTTAAATATGAAAATGTACCAGTGAGGGAGTCTGTGTGACGTTAATGAGGACCAATTGACCAGTGAATACAGGGTGCAGTGATGGGTACGGTAGTTACAGCCAGTTATGAATCTTAGTGCACCATGATAGACAATGTCCAACATCTGCAGGGGTGAGCGTTCATGTAAATAATGTCACCGTAGTCAATGAAGGGAAAGAAAGTAGCAATTACAAAGTGTTTCCTAGTGTTCAGTTAGACAGGATCTATTTCTGAAAAAGAAACCCAGTAAACCCACTTTATATGTTGTCTGTCTAAATCAGGTCTCTCTTGTAAATGAGTCCCTGAGGCTCAATGGGATTAACCTGTATAAATAAAAGTTGAATGAAAAGTGGCAGCTACAAGTTGTTTCCTGGCGTACAGTTAAACAAGATCTGATTCTGAAAAATAATTTGTACTTTTTTTAATAGGTTTTCAATATGTGGCTTAAAAGAGAGACGTGCATCAATTACAATTCCCAGGTATTTGTAAGTGTCCACAAACTCAATAGGAACACCATGTATGGATGAGATAGGAGGAAGAACCGCTGGCACCAATTTTCTGTTTGAAAACAACATCCCCTTGGTTTTATCAGCATTTAGCACCAGTTTGAGATGCAACAACTCAGAATGATGAATGATGGCAAATGCAGACTGTAGAAGCTGGAAAACAATGGCAACTGTGTTAGCTCGATGATAAACAATTGTATTGTCAGAATTGAGATGCAAGGATGTGTCAGGAATGTTTGACCTACATTACTTACATAAATTGTAAAAAGAGTGGGTCCTAAAACTGAGCCTTGTGGCACACCATTAGTGACCATTAGATAAAGTACCATTGTGTTGTACACAATTTACATTCAACCTTTATTTATACAGGTTACAGTGCCTTCGACCTGAGAGATGCTTAGAAAACCAACCAACAGTGTGATCTGAGAATCCAATATCTGAGAGCTTATGGCATAAGATGTGATGATCTACAGTATCGAAAGCTTTGGACAGTTCTAAGTAAAGTGCAGCACAGTAATCTTTAGCATCCAATGCTTCAACAACATCATTAAAAACCTTTAGCAAAGAAGTCATTGTACAGTGTTGTTTGCTGAAACCAGATTGGTGGGAAGATAAAATGTTAAAACAATCCAAATACTTCTTGACTTGAATATTTACGTTTTTCTAAAACCTTAGCTAAAATACAGTAAATAAATTATTTTGAAAAAATGATACAATGATGGAATAATTGGGCCGAAAAGGCATATTTTTAAATAACTAAAAATCATAGTTCATCTACCAATTGTACTGAAATTTATAGCAACTTATAAGTTATGACAAAGCATATTGATTTAAAAAAAATAAAAACCTTGGTTTTTGCTGTACTGAAGCTTAGGCAGCTGGGCGATGACAAACAGGAAGTTGATGATTGGGAAGTACGGGAGACGCTTTGTTGTGATGTAGATCTGAATAAGGTACAAGTAAAAATTATTATTATTTTAAATTCAAGCTGATTGAGATGTGAACCAAACTAAATAAAAATACAAGCAAACATTACAATGGCTGACCTTATTAAGCGGGTTGTGAATCCCAGCAGCCTCTAGGTATGCAGTGATCTCGTACAGCAGAGTGTTGTCCTCTTTAGGGTACGGCAGAGTCGGGTCTTGGTAGTGGGCTTCAATGTCTGCTAGAAGAGACCTGGCAAGGACGGAATCAAAGCACATTTTAAATCAGAATCAGAATCAGTTTATTATTGCCATGTCAATGAACGAGGTTCACAAACTAGGAATTTGCTTCGACATAAGGTGCGAATAGTAATAAAGTAAAATAAAGTAAAAATAAAGTAAAAATGAAGTAAAAATGAGAACATTACATAAGACATAAGACCTGTGTACACCCACAAATAAAGTAAAATTAAAAACATAACATAAACATGTACACCCATACAATAGAAAACAATAAAAAAAGCTTAGAAAACAGTACAGATGGAGTATTCAATTATAATACAGATGTAATGTGACCAAAGCAGAAATTATGAGGTAGTATTATGAGTGTTCAGGAGTCCAACAGCAGAGGGGAAGAAACTGTTCTTATGGCGGGAGGTTCTGGTCCGAATGGACCGAAGCCTCCTGCCTGAGGGGAGTGGTTCGATGATGCGCAGTGTGAAATGAGCAGTATGCTGATGTCACCAGTCGCTGAGGAGATGTAAAAAATTTATTTTTTTGTAGTTTTGGAGATTAGTTTTTTTCTGGACTGGAAACAAACAGAGAATGCAAATAACCCATTATGTTTTTGGTGCAAAATATTCAAGTGTATAGAAGTTGCACTGGGGAGAAGAACAGAGGTGAGGAATAGTAACAGATCTTGGCGAGTAGAGGGAGCAATTTTATCCACCAGGTACAATGGAGGAGCCAGGGGGTGGCCAATGGTGGCCTTAACCCCCATAGATTAGTCGCCACCTGGATTTAACTAAGCAAATAGGTACGAGCCTCCTATTGGATAATTACTGTATGGGCGATTATCTTTCAGCTGCAACAAGTTATTTAACCCCAACTGGTGCGATGAGTTTCTTCTCATTTCTTAAACAACCATGTTGTGGTGGAAAAGATGTCGGTCTGTTTGAGAAGGGTCAAATCACTGGCATCAAGCAGAGAAAACATCTAAAGAGATAGTAGAAACTACTAAAATTGGGTTAAGAACTGTCCAACACATTATTAAAAACTGGAAGGATAGTGGGGACCCATCATTTTCGAGGAATAAATGTGGCAAGAAAAAACTCCTGAATGATCGTGATCAGCGATTACTTAAAAGTTTGGTGAAATCAAATCGCAGAAAAAACAACAGTAGCACTCAGGGCTTTGTTTAATAGAGAAAGTTAGAGCATTTCCACACGCACAATGTGAAGGGAACTCAAGGGACTGGGACTGAACAGCTGTGTAGCCTTAAGAAAACCACTAATCAGTGAGGCTAACTGGAAAAAAAAGGCTTCATTTTGCTAGAGAGCATAAAGATTGGACTCTGGAGCAATGGAAGAAGGTCATGTGGTCTGATGAGTCCAGATTTACCCTGTTCCAGAGTGATGGGCGCATCAGGGTAAGAAGAGAGGCAGGTGAAGTGATGCACCCATCATGCCTAGTGTCTAGTCATCAATGCAAGAACTTGGTGAAAAATTAATGCAACACTGGATGGAAATAGATCTTGTGACATTGCAGAAGCTTATTAAAACAATGCCACAGAGAAACCTTTCCTACGCCTAGATGTAGCCATACACCAAAATGGAAGTTAGTACCTCACTTATTTTTCAAATTAATCATGTTCACAACATGCATGGGCAAACATATAGATGAACGGAGGGAGGGTATTTCCAATTCTCCCTTTTTATTCCACGACAGAGGACAAAAATTACATTCTCAAAGAGCAGTGCAACAATCAGCACCTGCTCGGTGGTGCGAACAGTCTTACTTGTTGAGGTTTTCCAGGGCAGCAGCCAGATGTTTGGAGTCAAACTTGCAGGAGTAGTTCAGCTCGTTAGCAATCTGCTGTCTGAGAATCTGCATCTGACCAACCTACAGCAAACACATTTAACTTTTTTTTCATGACATGTTGTTTTTGGATTAAAAAAACTGAACGTGATATTATTTAATGGTGTAAAAGTTTGGACTGCTACCTTCATAATGGCCTCCAGGTATGAACCCCAGATCTTATGAGACTTGGCAACAGCATTAGCATACACTTTGTTGGCATTAGCTAAAGCAACAAAAACATTTAAGTTTTGTAGAAGTTAATGATAAAATGTGGCAGGTTGTAGATTTTTTTTATGGGTGAATACCTACCCACAATGCCTTGGACTGGATTGACAGCAGCCAGCAGGATTCTGAAGACATCCACCACTGCTTTGTCTTTCAGGATGGTCTTCTGAAGCATCATCAGGAAGTTCTGATGACACGGGTTGTAAAATACATATTTAGGACACGCAACAAATATAATCAACTCCTTAAAAAAGTTTCAGGGTATTATTCTGTCAGGATAATTACCTGAAGTTCCTTGACAATCATGAAGCAGAGCAGCCGGTCCAGTCCATTGAGACCAAAGGTACCCAGCGTGTTCTGGATCTCAGAGAACAGCCTGTTGTTGGTCACCTCCTGGTGGCTCTTCAAGTCGTACCAGGTGTTCAGTTGGTCGATGTAGCATGTTGCCCTGTAGATGAGAAACTTGTTAATCAGACTCGATTACCTGTGAGCCATCTTCCAAGCTGTTCTGATTCCATGACATACTTGGAATCAGTAATTCTTAAAATCTCTCTGCAGAGACGACCGATGAAGGTAGCAGACTCATCCATGGGGGCGAACTTTGGAATTGGTATGTGTGTGGACTGGTGCACACTCTGCCAGTCCTGGATCTGGAAAACACAAAACCCTCCCATTCCAGATTGCACAGGAATAAACTACTGTTATTGTCAATCTAAGTGAGTTAATCCTGACCTTTGTCCTGAGGAAACAGTTGCACTCTTGCTCCACATTGTAGTTGATGATGCGAGACACTTCCTCCTGCCAGATTTTTAGGCCATAGATGCTGACATAGTCCTGGATGTACTCGAACGACCTGTAAAATCCGTCCATGGTGGCAGCCATCTCCTTCAACTTGGGCATAAGTTCACTGGGCTGAGAAAAAATACAAATTTAGTCTGTGTTTCCACTGCTGTTACCTTTGATGCTTGCAGGGCAGAAAAGCCCACTTTATAACGATTTAATTCAGTGAGTCAGTAGAAAACAAGAGATATACCAATGCCCCCCATCACTGAGGGATTTGATTAGTAAAGGAATTAAACATAGAATGCAAGTAAACCTTAATGTTTTTGGTGCAAGTTATTCAAATGGGTAGGAATTACACTGTGGAGAAGAACAGAGGGAGTTTTCTTGCTTGTCCGAGGTGGTGCAGAGTGAGAGATCCTGGCAAATTGTGAACCACTAAGCATAATGGTGGGGCCAGGGGGTGTCCAATGGTGGCCTTGGCTACCACAGATTAATCTTCAGCTACTCCAATCATTTGAAGAAACTATACTTTTAAGGAATATAAAAACTAGAAAGCATAGTTTACTCAAATGATAGGAGTGGCCAGTTTGCATACATACAGTATATGGCGGTGGCCATCTTGGATTTTGATGTGGCAACCCAATTTTCAAAAGATACTCTTTTCATGCCTAGATAAGTCAGTACCTCACTTATTTTTTAAGTTATTATACTCACAACATTCACAGATGGACAAAGTGTATTTTCAATGTCCCCTTTTTGCTATGTGACGGGGACAATAAACATCCCAGAGAAATCTCTGTAATCTTATTTTTATAAGACTAAACTCGAGGTTGCAAAGGCTCTAAAATGTAAAAACATGCTGCGATCAGTGGGAAACAGATCGGTTTTCTAACCTTAACCTTTGAGTTGAAAGTTAAGCCTTTGTGCAAAGCAAGCGCCACCCTCTTCACCAGCTCCTTCCTGATGCCATCCTCCAGAAGCTGCTTAGGATCCACCTAAAACATCACAGCTTGTTAATGGAGTCAGCATGACAGCCTGTACGCTGAACCCTCCCCAGAGAAACAAGGTTTTAATTGTCTATTTTTAATTGTCTATTAGATCACAAACAATATAAAAAAGATTTACTTCAATGATCCCGACTAGAGTTGTCTTCATCATCAAGATGCCCTCAGTGAAAATGGAGATGTCATGAGTGAGTTTTGCCACCTAAAATCACACAAAGAGCACAGTTTTACTGAATAACTGGTCAAAGTCTGTTCAGTGTGATTGAAGAAAGGAATATTCTCCAATGATTAGCCACTTGAACTGCATTACCAAACACTAACCATGTTGTTTTCATGTTTACACCCGTGACAACCAGATTTCATTTCAAGTCATTTCATAATGGGCTTTCTAAGCTGAAAAATGTGACCTTGGCGTTTCCTCGGTTTAATTAAAGTGTTTCAAGTGAAACTGCTTCCAGGCAAAGACTTCTTTTCTAATTTGTGTTTCTCTTCAAACACCGTGGGAGAGATTGAAAAAATAATAATTTAGTTCAGAAATGCCAGCAGGCACGAGGAGTTAACAAAGTTCTTCATTTCACCCAAGATCAAAAAAACTTTAATTTTACACTTAAATAGCGTTCATTCAGAAATATGAAAAAAAAAAAAAAAGGTTGTACTTCATAGCGAGCGTTCAGCTGGGAGTAATCCTTCAGCTTGTCCTTATCCAGCCGTGTGGGCACCTCGATGATGTCGTGGATCTGAAGTTTGATGATTTTGGCCAGAGAGGTGAACATGCTCTCTGGGATAATCTGAAGCACCTACAGGAAAGAAGAGCAAAGTTTCAAACTCAGGACCAGCAGGAAATAGGAGATTTAAGCCAGAATAGTCATGATTAGGTAAACAACGATGATCGCAGCTTCTTTTTGGTTAAAACTGTTGAGCAGATGGTTGCAGAGACGTTTATCATCATTAAAAACTATCGCTGTGCAGATCCTGAGTGATCATTTGCAACACGCAGAGCTCATTTGTTCCAGAAATGAAATGCTGCTCATTTATGTGAAAACCAGAGAGATTATCAGTCTTGCCTGATTTAAACTTTCCTTCCAAACAAAATCCAGGAGCGTAGCATTACCTTTCTGACATACGCCACCAGCTCTCCAGAGTAGAACTGCGAAACGCTCAGCAGGTCGGCGCTGTTGGCCTGGTTGATACGCAGCAACGGAAGATCCAACGCAGACGCCAGCTGCTCACACGAACACACCCACAAAATAATCATTTACACCATTATTTATTACTGGTCGATATCCAGAGTTTGTATGGGTGACAGAGACTGATCACCTTCAAGAATGTGGCTCTAAGTTTTGTGACCATGGATGGGTTGTTTCTGATGCTCTCCTGCATGATGGCTGTGAAGCTGCAGAGCAAACAGGAAAGGGCTGAGGTGAAATACTCCTCTCAGACAGGAGGAAAGTCCAAAACAAGTTAAAAGAATTGCAGCACTGTAGTCTTTCTGACTGACTGGGTTAAACACACATCGTACGAGACAGAAAGCTACAAGGAGAAGAGACACTGTTCAAAACAAAAATATAACTCAAACAAAACTTCCTGATGTGAAACAAGCAATACGATGATGCCCCCCATCGCTGAGGGATTTGGACAGTGAATGTTTGTAGTTTTGGAGGAGAGTGTTTTTCTGGACTATAACTGGACAATGAATGTAAGAAAACCTTAATGTTTTTGGTGTGAGATATTCAAGAGGGTAATAGTTACACTGTGGAGAAGAACAGGCAGTTTTTGTTGTTTTGCTCATCTGAGGCAGTGCCAAGTGATGAAGGGAGTACTTTATCTACCTCCAGGTGCAATGGAGGAGCCAGGGGGTGGCCAATGGTGGCCTTAACACCACAGATTAGTCTTTGGCCACCCAATCATTTGAGGAAACTATTTTTAAGCAGCATAAAAACTAGAAAGGAGTTTCCTCAAATGATAGGGGTGGCTGGTTTATTTATTTATATATATATATATATATATATATATATATATATATATATACATACATACACTGTATATATTTATATGGTGGTGGCTACCTTGGATTTTGACATGGCAACCCAAATTTCTGAAGGAACCTTTGTTGCACTAAGATGTTGTTGGATAAAATAAATATCCTTTCACCTCTTTACTCAAATAAGCCACTCTGAGCACACCAGAAGAATTTTTTTAACCCAGTTTACTTGCGAGGAGGCAGAGTTAACACACAGGCTTACACAGATGTTACATTGAAGCTCCGGTCGTAAGGTCTGCCCACGGACCATATAAAGAAGTGCTTTTAATAATGCTTATCAGACAGAGACGAGGTCAAGACGACCTCGTCTTTCCAGCTTACAGACGAGGAGGCCTTTTATCAGGGAGGCAGGCTCCATGCTCCTGCAGACACACAAGCAACTCTCTAACACACACACATTAGTTTATCATTGGTTACTAATAAACATCTACAACTTTAACCTAAATTCCCAACAGATGTAGCCGACATTTAAATGGAAGACACTTATTTTTAAAGTTACCATGCTTACGACATTCATGGACAGAGGCTATTTCCAATTCCCCCTTTTCGCTCTGCGGTGAAGGATAACACAGGAAAAACAGAGTGCATCTTTTTTGGTGATGATGCCATTTGTAACGTTGGTGCTTTGACCCACAATTAAAAACTCAGATGTGACTTTTGATCAGGACCTGAAGTCTGATAAACACATATCCTCTGTAGTCAAGGTCAGCATGTTTCTATCACAACTTTTAGCCAAAGTTAAATCTTTTTTTTTGTTGTTTTTAATAAATCATCCTGATCAGGAAATGGCTGTTCATACTTTTATCAGCTCAAGGATTGACTACTTTAAAGTCCTCCCTCAGCTGTCTTCAACTTGTGCAAATAGTTGCGGTCCGACTTTGAACTAACACTCCCAAACTTTTCATTCATTCAAACTTTATGTAAACAAGTTAATCCCAAATTTGAGCCCATCACCTGTTTTATTCTTTCTCCACTGACTTTAAGTCTGTTTTAGAATTGGTGTTTGCTTTTAAAGCTCCGAATGGTCTTGCTCCACCTTATTAGCTGATTTAGCAGCTTTCTGTGAGCATGAGAGGACACTTTAAGGTCAACTAATATGTTTTTGTTACATTTTAAGTTTTAAATATAGATAAAATCCTACTGTTGTCCTGGGTGGACTCAAACCAAGACTTAACTTTATTTTTACAGTGAAACAGTTTGATCACCTTTTGGTTTATGTAAATAAACGTTGACTGACACACTGAACGGGCAGCACGGTGGTGCAACTGGTAGAGCTGCTGCCTCTCAGCGAGCAGGTCCTTGGTTCAAACCCCGGTCCAGGGGCCTCTCTGGGTGGAGTTTGCATGTTCTCTCCGTGCATGCGTGGGTTTTCTCCGGGTTCTCCGGTTTCCTCCCACAGACCACAAACATACATGTTAGGCTGATTGGTAACTCTAAATTGTCCCTAGGTGTGAATGAGAAAGTGAATGTTTGTTTGTCTCGTTTGTCTCTATGTGGCCCTGTGATGGACTTGCGACCCGTCCAGGGTGTCCCCCGCCCCCCGCACATTGATTGCTGGACATGGGCACCGGCAACCCCCGTGACCCAAAATGGAATAAGCGGGTAAAGAAAATGGATGGATGGATGGATGACACACTGAACAGACCACAGTTAATGAAGATCCACAACCTCTCCTCCTCCACCATAACCCTCAGCACTGGCTCTCCTCAGGGATGTGTGTTGAGCCCCCTCCTGTTTATTCTGCTCACGTATGATTGTGCAGCTACCCATCCAGGCTGTCACACTGTAAAGTTTGCAGATGATACAGCGGTGGTGGGATGCATCACAAACAATGATGAGTCCAGCTACAGGCAAGAGGTGGAACACCTGGAGAGCTGGTGCAAAGAGAATAACCTTCACATCAATGTGAAGAAGACAAAGGAGATGATTGTGGACTTCAGAAGGAACAAAAACATCTACACCCCCCGGAACATAAGAGGATCTGCGGTGGAAGTGGTCTCCAGCTACAAGTACTTGGGTGTACACATGAACAACAACCTCAGCTGGAGCAACAACACCACCAGCCTGATCAAGAAAGCTCATCAGAGACTCTACTTCCTCAGACGGCTGAGGCGAGCTGGTCTGGGAAGCTCAGTCCTCACCTCCTTCTACAGGTGTGCAGTGGAGAGCATCCTGTGCTCGAGCATCAATGTGTGGCATGGAGGCTGCACAGCTGCAGAAAGAAAAGCTTTGCAGAGAGTGGTGAAGGCTGCACAGAAATCTGTCGGAATCAGTCTCCCCACCATCACAGACATCTACACCTCCAGATGCAGGAAGAGGGCCACCTGCATCATGAAGGACCCCACTCACCCAGCACACACTTTTTGCCCCACTCCCCTCAGGAAGGAGGTTAAGGAGCATTAAGTGTAGAACCACTAGACTGAGGAACAGCTTCTACCCTGAGGCTGTTAGACTCATGAATCTCTAACTAGAATAATCACTGTGAAAAACCATATCATGTTGCTGCTGATCTGTTTCAATGTTGATGTGTTCATGCGTGCACATCTGCTCACAGACTCATGTTCATGTTTGTGCTGATGTTCAATGTTTTATGTTATGAGTGCTTAGTGTATATTTAGTTGATGTTTTTCTTAGTTCATATCTTAGATGTTATTACTGTTTTTCTTATGCATTTTATTGTTGGATGTAACTGGGACCCTGTGTACATAATTTCGCTCCACCACATGTACCACATGAGGTGCGAATGACAATAAAGAAACTCTGACTCTCTCTGACTCTCTGACTCTGAATAACAACAAGTTAATAATAAAAGGAAAGTTTTGGGCAGTACATTCACCATGAGTTGGTGCAGCAACAGAATATTTGCCACTACACTAAACTGTGGATACGTTTGCAGTGATTTACAGTTCATCAGTAGTTGAGTACCTGTCAATGATCTGCCATGCGTAGGACAGATCTCCAACTATCTGCATGGTGATCAGGACCTCCTCTTTGATGTTGATGGTGCGGATCATCTGGTGCAGGAACTTCCTGGTGTCAGCCAAAAACTGGCACACCTGCAGGTTCGACTCCAGCTGGTGAAACTCCTGCACCTGAAAAAAAAAAGAGGACAACATTGGAGAGACAGGGTACACATATAACAACACTGGAGTAATAGATCTGCAATCAAGAGGTGCCATATTTAGTTGTTTTAATGGAATTAGAAGTATTTTATCAGCTTAAGATAAAACTAATAGAACTGTATAAACAGTAATCAATGACGTTTTACATAAATTTTACAATAATTACACACAATTCATTTTAATTTAATATGTGTTGAGAAAGCAAAAAAAAATATAGTATCGCAATTCATGAAGGCAACAGTACATTACTATTATATATTTTTGTGCATTTCTGTTTGGATCTATTAGTTAAATTTAGTTTTCCTTCTGCTTTAAACCATAGTTCTGATCTCTCACCATCTTTGCATGACGCTACCAAAGACTAGCATGTGTTCTGAGGTCTTATAACACTGTTTCTGATTGGAATTAAATGTAAAACCTGTGGGGAAAACTAATTATCCTCCTCACCTCAACAAGAGCGTGTATCAGCTGCACCGTCTTCCTCCCAGCAGCCGTGGAGTCCTCGTAGTTCAAAGACTCGATCTGCTTGGAGATTTCCCTGAACCACGCCTGCAAGTTCTCTGTGGAAGACAGCAGAGTTGCATAAAGGACTGTTTTCTGCTAAAAGTTAAAGACAAATATGGCAGATGGAAGTTTAATCTGACATCTGCCATGGCCACATGATGGATTAGTGGTTAGCACTGTTGCCTCACAGCAAGAAGTTTTGGGTCCATCCTCTGGTTTGGACCTTGGGTCGTTCTGTGTGGAGTTTGTATGCTCTCGTCGGGTTTGCAGGGTTTTTGAAAGGACTAGTGATGCAAAGCAGGTCCTGGGGGGGGTCCAGGGACATGATCCTCCATAATTTATTTATGTTTAATCTACTCAAAACTATTCATTTTCTAGCTATTTGAAGTGCATTTTATTGAATCCCTAGGATTAAAGATAAAATCAGTATATTACATAATTATTGAAAGGTGGAGGAATGAGCATGAACTGGCCTTTAAGCTGAACTTTGAGAATGCACTTGAAAATTGCAGTATCCTTGTTTTCTTTTATTTACTTTTCAGTTTATAGGATTGTCTATTGTTGTCTGTACCTCATCTGTGCTCTTTGTTTAAAACAGGTCTCTCTTGAAAATGAGTCCTTGAGGCTCAGTGAGACTAACCTGTATAAAGGTTGAATGAAATGTGTTTGGGGTTTTTTACACTGAGCTCCATGAGTTTGTCTTGACTGCATCAACCTGTATTTTTATCACAAAGTATCCTCTGCACTATATAACCTTATGTAGTAGCAAAGCAGGCTGCCATGAGAAACCTACCAGGTAGGTAAAAAAGAACAAAAAACACAAACAAATAGAAAATACAAGCTGCCCTGCAAACATCACATCTGTGTCCACAAACCATGAATCCACCATTTATCCACTAATGATGTCACAACAACTAAAGATTAGATTATTCACTTTTACTGGAACCTTTAGACATTTAAAATACCCACCAATACCAATACTATCCCTCCTCCCACACAAACACGGCATGAACAGATGAGCTCAGCCAGCTCTCATCAAACGGGGGACATTTGGGTGTCCTGCACCTCCTCATTCGGGAAGCGAAACAGGAAAAATCTGTCCTGCCCACATCCGGATGGTTGGCTCTGGAGCCAATAGCGTTAGCTCCAGATCTAATATACAGTATATGGTATTAGATTGGAGTTCATATCTATGGTGTTAGCACCAGAGCTAATAAATTAAACATCACAAGCCTATATGTAACCATCACAATACCTTAACATTTCGACATTTGTGTTGAAACGCTGAACTAATTAATAACTTGTAAAGAGAGCCCACTGCTCAGCTGTGGGTGTGTGTCCATCATTTCTCCAGATGAGAGGAACTCACCGTTTTTCTCCACCCTGGTAAGAGGTTTGACGCCGGAGAAGACCTCAGCCAGCTCAGTCATTCTCTCAGATCCCTCTTTCTTGTAGCTCTCCCATTTGAGCTGCTTCTCTGAGAGCATCTGCTTGAACATCTGGAAAGAACACAGTGCAGATGCTTAACCAATGAAGAGGGATTAGTCAGATGGGACGCCTAATTAGAACATTAAATTTGGGCTGCCTCCTCCTGATAAACTGGCCATATGCTAACAGGAAACAGGGACCGACACATCTAACAAGAAACATAGTTTGATAAACTGCATTGCAAGTATCAGAGAAATCATTCTCCCTTTCACTGTAAATTAGAAGAAGTGTATTTTAAGGAAGCGTCACATTAAGGAAAAACAAACACTTTTGAATGAGTTTTCTTCGTTTTGCGGGAAAGACTCACCTCTTTGAGTGTGAACTCAAACTGAGCAGTGTCCAGCAGCAGCTGGAACAGCATCTTGGGCTTGTACTTAGAGTCATTGAGAACTTGGTCTTTGATCTGACGCAGCCGCTTGTTGTTCGGGTCGTAGGCTATGACACATAAACACGCCTTAGAAAACGAGAAATGTATTTTCTTTCACATCAGACGCAGATGACGGCAAAGACAGAGCTGGTGTTTGTTCCGCCTTTTGAGCAACATTTGCATTTCTAAACAAACGAGTGGTAAGCCGACACCTCCCGTCATTGAGGGATTTGAAAAGTGAATGTTTGTAGTTGTGGCAACAAAATGTTCTTCTAGACTAGAAATGAAGAAGGAATATACGAAAACCTAAATGTTTTTGGTGCAAGGTATTCAAATGGGGAGGAGTTGCACTGTGGAGAAGAACAGAGGTCCGGTAGTTTTTTTTAGCTTGACTGAAGCAGCAAAGATGATGGATCCTGGCGAGTGTAGGGAGCAATTTTATCCACCACCAGGTGCAATGGAGGAGCCGGAGGGTGGCCAATGGTGGCCCTTGACCACCATAGATTAATCTTCAGCCACCTCAACAGCCACCCTCGTCTGCTAAAATTATATACTTTAAGTAATTTATAAACTAGAAAGCATAGTTTCCTCAAATGATAGGGCTGGCAGGTTTTCATAAATATATGGTGGTGGCCATCTTGGATTTTGTTGTGGCAACCCAATTTTTAATAGTGACCTTTCTTACGTCTAGACACAGTCACACATAAAAATATTAGTTAATACCTCACTTATTTTTCAAGTAGTCATGTTGACAGACAGTTGAACGAACAGAGGGTATTTCCAATTCACCTTCTTAACTTTGAGATGGGGGACAATATGAGAACAGGTCTTATTCACAGTATAATTAGTTTCTGTTAAACATCTGGACGCTATCTGTTCAGTAACCATTAATTTTGTATTCTGAATGGTAAAATAGCAACAAAACAGTTTTATACACTTTATGACTTGTTTTTTCAAAGTGCAACAATGTCTGATATTCAGAGGCCACAGAGCAGCGTATGCATGCAGTTGGAGGTGCATGTCTTCCTTTGTGAGGGATTTGAATTAAATAGTAGCTCCATCTTTTGATGAATCCAGACAATAGGTTTTATTTCATATGTGCTGCATGAATAAACTAATTTATCTCAACTTGCTTGAGTTAAATAGAAAAACACAGGTGCCACATGCTCCTTATTCTTTAATTTTGAAGTAGAAAAGTGTTTTCACCAGACTCTGCAGAGTGCAGCATCAGCCAGCGGATAGCAACATTGCCGTCCCTCAGACAGTTGAGCAGTTTGGGGATGTTGTCCAGGATGATTTCCTCCCTGAGGAACCCTTCCTTCAGTAGCTGCTGCATCTGAGGCCTCTGGCTCTCCAAACCGGCTGCGTACCGAGCAGCCTACACACAGAGACAGTGGTGAAAAACATCCGAAGACTGAGCTACAAATTATTCATGAGTCACCGCTTCATCCCCAGTGGTGGTCATTAGGAAAAATGCCATCGTCTAGCTAGATCTTTGAGACTTTGGCACCGTCATCACCATCGATACCTCAGCTCAATAGTATCCAATGTTTTCTTCATTACTTTATCAAGAAGAGTTAGCAAAGACTTTACAAAGTCACAGATTTGATTGGTCGTCTTGTGCTTTTGACATTCAGTACAGTCACACCTGATGACTCTCAGATTCTGTCACTTCTACACCAACATCAGTGCACAGAGGAGCGTGTGGCACTGACGCCGATACCTCACCTGTTCTTTGATGTTAGCGGAGTCCAGGGTGTAGTTCAGAGCCGTCTTAGCAGCTTTGTATGGTTCCCAGGCCTCCACCAGATTCACCGTGATGCCCATGTAGACACTGATGACCTGATGACAGAAACATCACATCTTTAACACCAATCACAAGCCAAACTAGACTAATGTCATTTCCTGTGAGAATTCTGTGTGATGTTTATCAGTGAATGGTTCAGTTGCTGAAGCTGAAACCGGCTTGAAAATGTTTCATCGATGAACTGTTAATGCGAGTTGAATTTGAAGAGCTAAAAAAAAAAGTTCAAATTACCAGAAAGATACTTAAAATAAGCAGAAAAAATTGAAATTATTCAAAAATATCACAAAAGTAAATAAAATAAAAACTAAAATTAGCAGAAAAATACCTAAAAAGGTAACTGAAATGAAAGAAGCTGAATTTAGCAGAAGAGAAGCTGGAGGAAAAAGAAACACTAATTCAGAAATGAGCCGAAAGGAGCTGAAGGAAACTGAAATTAGAACAAAAAAGCTGAACGAATTAGAAAGAGACTGAAAGGAGCATGAAAAGTTTAAATTATTAGACAGAAGCAATTCTTCTTTCAGCTTTTCCCCTCTTCAGGAATCCCCACAACAACTCATCCTCCTCCATCTTCACTCGAGCTATCGCCATGTCCTCTCTAGCTGCATCCATATATCTCCTCTTTGTCTTTTTCCTGGCAGCTGCAACCACTGTCCCTCCTCTGGACATGTTCAAACCATCTCAGTCTGGCCTCTCTAACTTTAGTTATTCAACCTGTGCTGTACCTCTGATGATCTCATTCATAATCTTATCCATCCTGGTCACTCCTAAAGAGAACCTCAACATCATCATTTCTGCTACTTCCAGTTCTTTCTCCTGTCTTTTTGTCCATGCCACTGTCTCCAGACCATACAACATAGCTGGTCTCACCAATGTCTTGTAAACTTGTCCTTTGACCTTTGTTGAAGCACAAGACAGAAGCACAAAAAGAGGAAATTTGCAAAAACAAATATAGCAGAATGTTAAAAAAAAAAAAGATTAAAAAAGCAGAAAAATACCTAACAAGTAGCTGAAAACATAGAAAAAAAACGCTGAATTTAGCAGAAAAAAAATAACAAAAAAGGCTGAAATCAACAACAAGAACAAAAAAACAACTGAAAGGAGCAAAAAGAAACTAAAATTGAGAAAGAAGTTGAAACTAACTGAACCACAACAAAAGCTGAAATAAGCAGTAAATGGTTGTAAACAGCTGAGGGCTTCATTCATTTTAAATGAAAAAAACATGGCCGACAAAACTAAACATTTTAAAAAGTAACAAGTGCACAAATACTAAGTCAGAGCAAGAGTGTCCTGAATGAGCTGAACACTGTGATGAAAAACACTCAAAGCTTCCTACCCAGTTATCAGGGAAGTACTTGTCTACTATTTCCCTCATCTTGGCCTGCTGGGTGTGCAGGATGGAGGGGCTGAAGAACAGGCACACGTAGAGCATGGCCGCCTGGTTGGCCAGCGCCGTGCTTCGATGCTCAGGTAGAGGGTAGGCAGACACCTGAGGACCAGGTGGGAAAAATTCACTGTTAAGAAGTGGTCACAAAGCCCAGACTTGTAGACGTAAACTTCAAGCTCAACTACTTGATTGTAGATGTCGTCTGAGCGGAGCCTCCCGATGACCATGCTGATGAACGTGGCGTTGATGGGAACCCTCTGGAAGTAGCTGTCTGGATAGTTGGCGGGACGTTTAGCGCCAGGCTGGCTGGAGTAGCCGGTGCTGCGCAGGAGCTTACAAATGTCGTCCAGATTGGAGTCAGCTGATGAACGAGCAGCACTGAAAAACACGTAAAACAAGAATCCCGCTTAGAGCACATGATACGCCCGTCGACAAACAACATAGCAACTGTCCAGATGAGCAAAAAGCTTCTTTAACTTTGACTTTGATTTGTGACCTTGAAGCGGGGCTGATGAAAAGTGTATGTGACACCCCATCTTATGATAATGCTCATGAAGTCTCATTAAATTATCTTGAACAGATCAGAAGTTATAGGCAGGAAAACCTTGTTAAAGTGTTGACCTTGATTTGTGACCTTAACCTATATAAAAACACATGACTGCAGCTGGTCAAACTGGCTGGTTAAACAGAAGTTGCATCAATAAATTTCATAACTTTGTTCAAATGTCTGCACGACTTCATTTACTTAGGCACAAAATACATTTGTTTCTCTGCACGCCTGACAGACGTGAACCAAGGAGGTGACTCCGCCTCCTCTCTAAGGGAAACCATCGGCTCAGAGTCACTGAGCGTGTCGTACCTGTGTGACCGAGTGTGTGCATCACAGGCTCACCTGTATCTGTAATAGGAGACAAGCATCCTCTCTCTGACCTCTCCTTCGATTTTCTGGTCGATAACCAACAGCATGACTCCGTACAGGTAAAGAGCCTCACACTGGCAGGAGAAAAACATTTACAACAGCCGTTTGAGCACCGGGAGACATCGAACAAAACCAAATAATGAAAAAATCAAATACGGAGGTTTAGAATGTGGCAGCTAAGAGTTAACACTAGAGAAATGTAATTTCCTGTAAAAATGTAAAGTTGAAAGCTGCTTAAGAAAGCAGAACGCAGCAGAATGCAGCAGAAATGTGTAAATAATTTTTTTTTAAAGAATAGGGCAGAAATGTAGCCGAAATTAGCAGAATAAGCTGAAACAGACAGAGGCTGGATAGATTATAAAAAATCTGAAATGAGCAGAAAAAAGCTGAAGTTTGCAACAAAAAAAAAAGTAGCTGAAAGCTAAAAAATGAAAAAGCAGAAATTAGAGAATACCTAAAAAAACAAACAAAAAAAAACTGAAAAAACAAAAACAAGCAGAATTTAGCATAAAGTAGCTGAAAAAAGAACAAAAACTGATCAGAAAACAGCTGAAAGGAGCTGAACCAGAACAAAAAATGAAATGTGCTGTAAAGTCTGTAAAGTGGGTCTGAAGGATGTGAAGAGAGCTCCATTCATTTTCAATGAGAAAAACATGGCCGACAAAACATTTTGAAAAAATAAAATTGCACAAATATTAAACGTCGCAGCAGGACAGTCCTGAACGTTTTGATTTATGAATTGTTGTAACTTACGAGGAGTTGTTTGCCGTCCTCATTTAGAAGCACAGTTTCTAAGGTCTGCTGAATATAAACTCCCTCGTTGAGGTCATCTAAATATCTGCAGATGTGAAACAATGACATGTTTATTGAAATGTTTATTTAAAGAGAACATGTTCACTGTTTAGAGCGAACATGGAACCAAAGCAGAGCTCGACCCGTCATACCTGTTCAGATCCACTATATATTTGTGGACGCTCTCAAAGGCCAGATAGAACCTGGACAGGATCTCAGTGTTGTTCTCTCTGAACTCTTCGTCCAGGTCCTGAAGCTCTGCTTTGGCCTCCAGCTTCCCCTCACAGTACTCCGGGCCCTGGAGAGGAGGCAATGTGGTGAAATGCAGCTGAAAGTTCAGCTCGAATCAAGATATTGTAAATCAAGCCACAGCTAAACTAAGAACACTGCTGCTCTAGTCAGGGAGTCCTGCAGCCAAGCTTCTGTGCTCTCTGAGAAAATGCAGTGTTTTGTGGCTAAATGAAAAGGTTTAGGCACTGGAAGTGTGTGTTTGACCTTAAAGTAGCTGAAGTCGCAGATTATGTCTCCATATTTCTGCTGGTCACTTTTGTCCTTGAGCCTAAAAACTGGTGGGATGAAGTCAGAGAGCCGCAGGAGCTCTGCAATGATGGCGTTCCCTCTGGAGACTATCCTGAGGATGGCCTGGCCACACTGGTTGTTGTCGGCCAGGAAGTCCACCATGGCGGTTGGAGCGTGAAGAGCAGGATGTGAAGAAAATACACCCTGATGCAGGGAATCTGGAACAAATACTCCAAATATTCCTAGAAAAATTAAAAAACATGTTTAAAAATAAGAGAGATTGGGTTTACTTCTTTTTCAGATCACATTTTAATTCATTCCCACGCTGAAGAGTTGTCTGAGCAAGAAACTGAAAGCCTTTCAGTATCTATACTAGAAATTAAAATAAAAAAAAACACCAAAGTTCATGCTCAATAATCCAGGTAATAATCAACAATGTTCAGTCAGGTCATCTGGATGGTTTCTTTTTTTGCCAAGACATTTCGTCCTTCATTCAAAGGACTTCTTCAATCTGAGGAAAAGAAACCATCCAGATGACCTGACTGAACATTGTTGGATTTTTACCTGGATTATTGAGCATGAACGTTGGTGTTTTGAACCACTTTTGGTAAGGCTGCCACAGAGGAGTTGACGGGGAGAGGGCGGACCCCGGAGGTCATCTTACCACCAGCAAACTGTTTGTTTCCACTATGGGAGTGTGCTGTTTGTGGTGGGACTCAGTTTCAGGTTAGGTTTATTTGTTATATGCAAAATCAACACAAGGTCAACAATGCAATGAAATGCTTAGGACGAGAAGAACCGTCTCGACTCACCAAAATAAAACAAGAAATACCAATAGCATGCAGCAATAATACTAAAAACATAAAGAAATACTACTAAGATACTAAAAAACATTAAAAATACTACTAAAATACTAAAAACAAGGAGCCAAAGTTGAAAAAGAAAACCATCTACAGTGTGAGTTGGTTAGCAGTGAGGTTCTTTCAACATAATGGTTCTGTTCTGTTAGCGACGTTAGCAGGTCCGGTCAGCAGCTTGATGGTAATAACGACCGCAGCAGCTGCCCTCACAGACCGCGGTCCAGAACCAGGTCCGACAGACAGAGAACATCCGAGGTTTCCCCATGGAACTGAACAGATCTGTAGAGTTTGGTCCGTGCAGGCAGATGGAGGATCTTGTTTGTAGCGTTAGCAGGCCCCGCTAGCAGCTTCATGATAACAACGACTTGTTGGTAGCCCCTCAGATTAAAGAAGTCCTTCGGATGAAGGACGAAATTGCTCGGCAAAAAAAAGAAACCGTCCAGATGAGATGACCTGACTGAACCTTGTTAAAATAAAAAATATTTTTACGAGCTTCAAACAAACAATGGTCACGTTAAAGAGAACCTCTTGTTCATTAACGTGTCTTGTGCAGCGTATGTGTATACAATTTCATTCCACCACATGTGGTGCGTATGACAAATAAAGAAACTTTGACTCGGACTTTGTATGCATGTAGAGATAATAAAGGCAGACAAAATGAAAAGTTTAGACAATCATAAAACACCGACAGCCTTCCCCTCTATTATCAGAGTTCCCCAACAGGTGAACCGTGGTCCAGATCCAAATAAAGTCTTATCTAGACCCAAATTAGTTCTAAAACGTCAGTAGAATGAAATAGTTCATATACAGTTTTATTTTTCCCGCCAAACTTTATCTTGGTAACTCCTTTTACATGGCGTCGTCTTAATTTATGATGATTTATTTTATGCAGTGAGGTTTACAAGTATTTATGGTAATTTCCAGGTCGGGCCTGTGGTTTCTCTCTGCTGCCAGCACGCTGAGCGGTCCAGACCCGAAAAGAAAATAGTTGACTGAAGAAAACCAGCACGTCTGTCACTAAAAGAGAATTTAAATATATACATTCTGGACCTTTGCTAGAGAAAGGTTTCTTGAGGCAGACCTCGCTGAGATTAAATAATAACATATAAACTCGCTAAATATTAACCATTTTATAACTGGTGAATAAATAAACTAATTGTTTAAAGCAAATCCCCAAATCAGTAAAATATAAGTTCAGTAATTAAATAAGGATATACAGATTAATCAGATAACCAGTTTTAATTGGATTATATCGTCCACTTGAACAAAGGAATCAGCCATGGCTGTGCAGCAGCTACAACCAGCTTCCTGTAGTCCACATTTTAGGTTTTATAAGTGAGAACGCATCTTTTAAAATTAAAGTGTACAACTTCTACTTAGTGTTGTTAAACATATGTTTAGCTATTTAAATTAAGTGGCTATTATTTGGCCCTGTGATGGACTTGCGACCCGTCCAGGGTGTCCCCCGCCCCTCGCCCCTCACACAGTGATTGCTGGACATGGGCACCAGCGACCCCCATGACCCAAAATGGAAGAAACGGGTAAAAGATAATGGATGGAAGGATGGACGGATGGATGGATGGATGGACGGATGGACGGATGGATGGACGGATGGATGGACGGATGGATGGATGGATGGACGGATGGACGGATGGACGGATGGATGGACGGATGGATGGACGGATGGATGGACGGATGGATGGACGGATGGATGGACGGATGGAAGGATGGATGGATGGACGGATATATTTTGCTAAATGAAAAAATCAGATTTGGCTAAAAATGCTGATTTGTAAAACAGCTCAAATCGATCAACCTCTAATTTATTTAGAGCCAGCTCAGATCGAGTCGTTTCAAAAAAACAAAAAAATACAAACAGATTCGACCCAAAACCAGTTTGGTCCAATTCAACAGTCCCAATAATTGAAATGTGTTTTAATTCAATTCAACAACAAACTTGTTGAATTCAAAGAGCCGACAAATGACACCACGGCGGCACAGTGGTTCAGTCATAGGCGTCGCAACCATTATATGTGAAGGGGACAAGTCCCCCCCCCCCCCCACACACATTAAAAAAACGTTCATTTGGACTCCCCCACTTTTAATATAAAACATTAGTTCAGGCGGCGCAGTTTCTCTTTCTTCGTGAACAAATCCATTCCACTTGATTAATAGAATACTCAAACCACTAAAACTCCACTCCAGGTTTTCCTGGTTACCTCCAACTCTCCACCGTCCCTTCCTGCCTCTTGCCTGGGAAGAAAACGCACACAGGTGGAGGAGATGGAGGTACCCGTGTTACTCGCTCACCAGTTAGTGCAGGCAGTGGTTGACCAGGGGGTTGATCATAAACATATATTCATGTTAGGAGGATGTTTGAGAGCAGCGCTACGTCTGTAGCATGTTCTCTTAGCAGTAACTGTGACTCTGTCAGACGCTGCAGGTGTAAGAGACGCTGTGTGTTCAGGTGCATTAAAGTTGAAATGTCTTTAAACCCCCACACCTTATTGTCCTCAAGGTTCATGAGAAACATCATTTAGATGAGGAGTGTTGAACACAAGTAAAAAAGTCCAGTGGTGATGTTTTTTATTTCTCTATAAAAGACAAATAGTGCCGACCTGACGCTCTGTATTAAAGTGTATTAAAGTTAAAATGTCTTTAAAAACCACAGCTGAATTTACACAAACTTGGTGAGAAACATGTTTTAAATGTGTGGAATTAAAGGAAATCTAGATGAAATGTTGCTTTTTTGTTCACTAGTGAACACCTTTTCTTACGTGCGCGCACACGAGCACACACCTACACACATCATTGTGTCCCCCCCCCACATTACGGATGCTTCTGACGCCTTTGGGTTCAGTTGTAGAGCTGTTGCCTCTCAGCGAGGTCGCCAGTTCAAATCCCAGCCCGTGACCTTTCTAGGTGGAGTTTGCATGTTCTCTATGTGCATGTGTGGGTTTCCTCCAGTTTCCTCCCACAGATCAAAAACATGCATGTTAGACTGATGGTGTGAGTGAAAGAGTGAATAGTTGTTTGTCTCGTTTGTCTCTAGGTGTTCCTGTGATGGACTGGAGACCTGTCCAGGATGCCCCCCACCTCTCGCACAGTGATGGCTGGATATGGACACCAGTGACCCCCGCGACCCAAAAAGGAAGAAACGGGTCAAGATGGATGGATAAATGACACCGAGGATATTGATGCCAAAAGAGATGAAGAAAGTAACCATGAAGAGACAATCCTGAGCCATCTTTCTCCTTGTCCTCTTTAAAACAGAAGCAGACAGGGGCTACGACAGATGTTTGTCCTCTTTAAAACAGAAGCAGACAGGGGCTACAACAGACAGATGTTTGTCCTCTTTAAAACAGAAGCATACAGGGGCTACAACAGACAGATGTTCACTGAAGGTTTAGTAATATTGTGCTCAAAAACCCTCTACAAGAAACTGACCAGCAGAAGCTTTTTATCCCAGAATAACCGTAAATTGTTGTTAATAAATATTTTAGTTGTAAACAAAATCTGCTTTTGAACCTATTTTCAAAGCTTTTCACACAAAAACCAACAAAACCCTTCCGTTTGTTTCATAGTAAACGTGTTGTTTGTCTCAGTCTTTCTGTTGAGATTCATCTGTTGCTAACGGCTAATATTAGCATGTAGCCTGCTAGCTCCCTTCATTAAAAGAAAGCGGCCGACATTACTCAAGCACGCGCACAAGTGCACACATTTGATGGCTAACTAGCTTCATTTTATGCTACCGGTTAAAATACTGTAACAATTTTGACACTTTTCATCCAAATGTCTTGCCTGTTCGGAGCTGCTCTTCCTTGTTTACTTCCTCATGACTCTTCACGTGACTGGTCTGCTGCTGCCGGGTGCGTTCGATTCTGTCGCTTAACTGGCCGGAGAAGGGCGGAAACAAACAAACAAACAAAAAAACTAACGCTTCGACCTGCAGAAATACATTTAGGGTACCCATATTTATTTTAGCTTCCTCTAAGAGTCCCTCCGTGTACTGATTAATTATAAATAATTTTCAAGTACAACTGAAGTCTACTTTAATCCCCGCAGCTCGGGCGGGATGATAACCGAGCCAGCCTGGTGCTCTAGGTGGCGACAGAGAACCGCTACAATCCTCTGTTCCTGCCTCCATCCATCACTCAGACGCCTGCCTGCTTTACAGGGGGTCCGTGATTTACAGGGATCAGGCCTGAACTGAAATTAAACTAACCCGCTGCCTCCGAGATAAAACCCCAGGGAAGATGATGGGGGAAAATCATCTGTCCTTCGAAAGATAAATAGACCACC